ATCCGAGATAGCAGTGTGATAGTGCAGTCTATTCTAAGTCCTCTCAACCAAAGAAATTGGATCTAGATTAAAAACTGAGCCCTTGGGAGCGATTGCCGTGGTTCAATGTTTTGCGTCGAAATCGGCCGAACATGACGTCACTCTGACGTCATTTCCGGCCGACCTGTGGTAGCTACGAAGTTCAAATTTTGTCAAAAGGTGTCAAATTGATGCATCCGAAGGTACTGAAAGTTTGGCGTCGATACATCAAGTGGTTTGGAAGTTATTGCAGAAAAACGGGAGGGGGGCTATAAATAGCCCCCCCCCCCCCAGTGGAGCGCGGGTTAACCATATGAATTGCTCGCAACTCAACATGCAGGCCTTGCAAGGCTAAACATTTCTGCATATGTAGTATGGCTAGTGGCTACCTGAAAGATATCGGGTTTGCGCACTCTGAGCATTTTTCTTCTAACGGGCACGCCTTAGCCCGTCCAACGGCTATGAGTGCTTGGACCGCTAGAATCAAATTTCAAACATCACCAATTATCGAATGATTGTTAAAGTTACATGCAGTAGCGCCTGTCTGTTTTACTCAAAAATGTGTAAGTCTGGGGTAAGGGCTGACAGTTTGCGGTCGGTCTAATCGGTGACATGGGGATCTTATGCGGCTGACAGCTTCTAGTATTTGTTGATTGATCGGAACTACTTAATAATGCAGCTGAGGATGCAGCCGATCTCTGGACCACACGTATGTGACTCCAGCTTTGAGTGGAACTTAAAGAAGAATGAACAGTTTTGTTATCCAATTACATTGTAAAAAGGAAAGGTAATGAGCTACAGATTCGATTGAGGTTGAATGGGAAGACATATTCGATTTGTGGCATCTTGTGGAGGACTTTGCGTTAAATGTCTGACTTTATTTTTGGTTTTAGATCTCCTGGTTTTACGGTCTTGCCTAGCCAGTTGGTTTCGCCGTTATTATGTGGTTCTTGTTGTATTCTTTTATTCTGTGGCTTGTTTTTTATTTTAGGTCTCCTGGGTTTTACGGTCTTGCCCAGTCAGTTGGCTTTGCCCCTATTTTGTGGCTCGTGTTGCATGTTCTTTTTATATTCATACGATTATAAAAGATTTTAGTTGAGATTTGTTTCTAGCGATTCAAACACCCACAGACGTTGGATGGGCTAATCGTAGCCAAGAGTTTCCAGACTAACGTCCCCAGATTGGTTGGTGATGAACTGAAAACATTGCAAACTGTTGTTGCCTGACTGATTTGGCATTTGTGTAATTGCTTCGTGAAAATTAGCTGTTAGTTTATATAATGTATGTGCATAATGCCTAGCGAACTGATTCGAAATTAACTTCAAGCATAAAACGATTCATGACGTTTTAACCCGCGCCCAGATGGGGTCTGCCGAGCAACGCGGTCTGATGGGGGGGACCATTTTGGCCCCCCCCCTCAGATCTCGAGAACCACGCAACGTAGCGACAAGCGGTAAACGGTGTTGGATAGCCCCAACGGGGAACTACCTTGTGACCCAATTTCATTGACCTCGGTCAAACCGATGACGTCACAGGTCAGGTCAAAGGTCGAATTTTCACCGTTTACAGGCATTTCAAGAAATGCGTTGTAAAATCGAGTAAAATGCATTTCATTGAAAATCATCGATGGGAAAGTGTTCTTCAAACACATATTTTGCTATTTGAGGTCACTGATACCAGGTCAGGTCACAGAGGTCAGGTCACTGGGGGGTCACAATATGAAAGTGTCGTGTGATACATGTTTTATGGTCCATTTTACATGACAAATGCGATTATGTGGGTCAGACAGACTTTAGGGCCAGCTTAGGTCACGTTTTGGTCAAGGTCAGGTCAAGGTCAGGTCAAAGTCAGGTCAAATTAGGTCAAATTTCAAAGTTGATATTTTTGCATAAAATGGGTATCGATTCGATGCAGCTCGTCACGGGGAGTTCAATGGTGGTCTTCGTTTTGCGCTACAAGGTCTAGAATTGCTAAAAATTGAGTTCAAAAATTTGACGTCATCAATTTTTAACAGTTTTTTTCGCTATAACTTGGCCAAAAAAAGAGGTATCGATCTAAAATTTGGTATGTATATCGAAGAGCGCAGGGACTATCACATATATTCCAGTTTTTTCGAAATTCGAAAATTTTTTGGAAATTTTTTGAGTTTTTCTAAAAAAATCAATTTTTTGATTTTTGGGGGTCAAAATCCCAAAATTTCGAAAATCCGAGATAGCAGTTTTGTAGCGCCGTCTTTTGTCTACACAACCACATAAAGAACTTTAAAATTGCTTGTTAACTGTAGAATTTGTGAGCGTTTAAAGATGTCGTGTTTTTTGCTCATTTTTACTCGAACATGACCTCAGTTTGACCTCAATAACTCCTGACCTGAGGTGACCTGTGACTTGAAATTTTGTGTGAAGGTGTCAAATTGATGCCCAGTAAGGTACCCAAAATTTGGCGGCGCTGCGCGCCGCCGTTTTCTCGCTATTTAAGAAAAACCACAGGGGGGGCAAAAATGCCCCCCCCCCCATCAGGGCGCGGGTTAATAATCGTTCTAACGTAAAATGAACATGGTTATTTTGCTTATTATTTGGCAGGGCAAATGGTACATTCGAACAGCAACAAATTCGAAGAATAGCTTGAGTACCAGCAATGCCACCAAAATCTGGCGTTTTGATAGAGCCTCCTCAGTCCTTTAGAAACAAAATAGGATCACTGATTTTTGGCTGTCGGATTTCGTCCCCGTCTTGAGTTGAAATGTTTATAGTTTCACAAGATGTGGACGAAAGTCCGACAACCAACATCAGTGGACAGTGATACACCTCGTCTAAAGCATTCCGAAGAATCACACAAAATAGTTTATACAATGCATACCAATGCTGGGCAAGGGTTCCACACTGACACAAGCCGAATGTTTAGGGACCCACGGCATTAGCGTGGTTTTACAGAACCAAGCAGAAGCCAGGAACACCACAAGAACAATAGAAAATTAGCATGGGCGCGGGAACCGGGGGGCAGTGGGGGCAGCTTGCCCCCCTAGCTTTAGGGCCGTGGGGGCGGTGCCCCCACAACTTTAAGACGGAATACCGCACTTTTTTGCAAATGTTTTCGTTTTTGTTGAAAAAGCCGAGGGATGAAAAATAAGTGGCCTAAAACCGGCGAGAAAACTAAATTTGGGGGTAACCTAGGTTTATCTCTATCATGGTGTGCCCCCCCCCCCCCAGTATGAAAGTAGTTCCCGCGCCCCTGAAAATTAGTCAACACTCTGGGCACAGAAACAGAAACGGCAGTATAGTGCCTTGAACTTAGTGCGATAAGCGCAGTACAGATTTAACGTCACTCAGTAGCTCAGTAAATACACCGGAACACTGGGTGCAGACTACACCAGTTGCTAAGAAAATATAGCAACACATTAGATACTGACTACATGAGTAACTAGCAAAGTACCTACACCGAAACACTGGGTTCTAAGCACGGACTAAATGAGCAGCCTAGTCACGAATACCCCGAACCACTGGGTACGACCTACTCTACATAGAAGCGTAGTTAATGCACCGAAACACTTGTACACAGGGATGCGGAGCCGTAAAAATTTCAGACGGCTCCGGCTCCAGCTCCGCCTCTGGAGAAAAAAAATCGGCTCCAGCTCCGGCTCCGGATCCGGGTGAATTGTCATGGCGGCTCCGGCTCCGGCTCCGGCTCAGAGTAAAATGGTCCGGCTCCGGCGGCTCCGGCTCCGGCTCCGGCTCAGAGTAAAATGGTCCGGCTCCGGCAGCTCCGGCTCCGGCTCCGGCTCCAACTCAGTACATCCCCTATGCGCAGGGATGTACTTTCCACGGAGCCGTGGAAATTTCAGACAGCTCCGGCTCCGGCTCCGGCTTCGGAGAAAAAATCGACTCCGGCTCCGGCTCCGGCTCCGGGTGAAATGTCATGGCGGCTCCGGCTCCAGCTCCGGCTCCGGGCAAAATGTGCCGGCTCCGGCGGCTCTGCTCCGGCTCCGGCTCCGCATCCCTGCTTGTACATATTACATGATTAGCGCAGTTGTTACACCAAAACACTGGGAACGGACTGCACATCTATCTCAGTGAAAACATCAAGACACTGGGGATAAAATACATCAGTAGTGCAGTGGCTACACCGAAACACTCGTTTAGAACTGTGTAAGTAACGCAGGCAATGCAGCGAAACACTGGGTAGGTACGGAGTACGGATTACAGCAGTAGCGCAGGGAATACACCAAAATGTTGTGCACTAAGGACGGGCTTCACTGCAGTAGCGGGGTGGGGAAATACACCCAAACACTGGCTATATACGGGACTACACCAGTCGGTCGGCCGGCTCTCGCTGGGACGGCCGTGGACCCAGAGCGACAGGCAGGGGGACGGGTGGAGGGCGCCGTCTGCGGCACTCGCCGTCAGCGACGCTCGACGCTCGACGTCAGCCGCCACCGCCGCCTCAAAGGCCGCCGCTGCCGACGCCGTGTGCCGACACGGACGTGCCACTAATCACAACATTACCATACGGCCTGCACCGTGCGCCGTTTTATCCTTATGTCATTACGGCAGTGATAGATGGTCATTGCCGGCTAATGGCAGCGGCCAGGCCACGCCCCCGCAGGTGCGCCGAGGCGTGGCCTGCACGCCGCCGGCGGCGGGGCGGGGGAAGCCGCCCGGGGCGCCGGGCCGGGGCCCTGTCGCCCCTCTGTGTTCGCAGCTGCTGTTTCTGCCCTATCAGTCGCCGTCCCCCGGCCGGCCCACGCGGCCCGCGCTGCCTGCCCGCTCAATTGGCACACTAAATCGCATTAATTTCAATCTGGCACGGCGTAACCAGCCCTGTCGAATCCGCCTCCGGTGTCGCCTGGCGCCGGCGCCGGCTCAACTGCGGCACTGCCACCTGGCGACGGGACGAGGAACTGTGCAGGCTCCGCCCAGCGCGCTCTCGACCAATCGGAGGCCGGTATTAGGCCGGCTCAGATTGTGCGGGAGATAATGAACCAATCCGTGTCGAGTTTTAGATGTGTAATAGCCGCTAAAGAAATTGTTAAGTGTTTGTTAGCTAGTCTTGCCCCGACCGGCCGGCGGAGGGTAGTGTCGCCGCGTGCTCTCGCTCTGTGCCGCCGCCGCCGTCGTCCGAGATGATGGCACCGCTGAACTTCTCCGCGCCGGCCGCCAAGCCCAAGATCGGCTTCTCGATCGACTCTATCGTCGGCGACGACTCGCCGGCCGAGGAGAAGCCGCGTGTGTCGGCCGCCGGACGCGTGTCCCCGGCTCGCTCTCCTCGCTCTCCTCGCTCGCCGCGCTCGCCCGGCTCGCCGGCCGGAGCCGCCTGGTCGCCGTCGAGCCGGCCCCGCTCGCCGCTGCGCTCGCGCTCGCCGGTGTGGCAGCGCGGCGGCGGCGGCGGGCCCAAGTCGCCGCCGGTGGACCTCGAGTCGGCCAAGCTGGCCGCCTTCCACCACCTGCAGAGCATGCAGCAGCTGCACAGTATGCGGCTGCACGCGCCGGAGCCGCTGCACCCGGCCGCGCTGCGGACGCCGGTGCCCGGTCTGCCCGGGTTCGGTCTGGCGCACCCGCTGGCTCTGCCGCGGCCGGCGGTGTCGGCAGCCGGTCAGCCGCTGCCGCCGGCGTTCGGACCGCCGCACCTGGGCGCCGGCCTGCCGCCGCAGACGGAGTACCCGCTGCTGCCGTGGCTCTACTCGCGACAGGGACGCCTCTTCCCCTCTCGGTTCCCAGGTGAGTGCAGACTGCTGCTCGTGGTTGTGATCGTGAAGTGTCAGAACCGACCAGTCTGGTCTGGTTCGTAGCGCGAACTGCGTCTTGCGTAGTGTCATGTGTCATACGGTTGTCAACTGAGTCGTGTAGTGTCGTGTTGGCTCTGGTGGCAAGGCTGCAAGCTGGGTAGATTTGGTTTCCGTTTAATGCTGTTCTCGGTCAGATGCTGTTTTGGGTTCTGTCAGATGCTGTTCATGGGTCAGACTGTCTTGTCGACTCCGTCGTGATCATGAATTGTCAGTTGTGCACTGCGGCACGCTCAGAGCAGGTCAGTCTCAGGTCAGGTCAGGTCGAGTAAAACTGAATCAGGTCAGGCTGGGTCAGATCGAGCCCCGTACCCATCAGGCCGATCCAGGCTGGTTCAAGTCAGGTCAGATCTTCCCTGTCGACAGTCAACCAGTCTCGCCATCCCATGTGCCGTGTTCCCCGCCGCCACCACCGCGTGCATCCGTCCCGACTCAGACTGTGGAAGGGCTGCGCACCGCGGCCCGCTGACGCCGGATCGCTCTCCGGCCAATGTCAGATGTCGCCCGATGTCAGATGTCAGATGTCGATGTCAGATGTCAGATGTCGTCCATCATAGGCGGACGCCGCCGCCGACTCCGTATGGGGAGGACAGTGCAGCTCGCGCGGAGACGGACGCCGTTTTTGCCTGTCTGCTATGACGTACAAGCCAAATTGATTTGGTCCGAGTCCACTATCCATCATGGAGAGATGCGAATAGATCCTGTGCGGTGGCTGCCCGTCTCACTTTTGTGTATTAAAGCTTAGGTTTTTGCAACAGAAGGCTGGTAATCGGATGGATCAAGCAGGATTATGCTAAAACGTTTCAAGCGGGCGGTTGCTACACATTTTTGGCACACTACATTACCTGAGATCCTAAAGCTAGTGGCTTTTTGTTATCACATTCAACCAACCAAAGTCAAACTCGGACGTGCTCGCCGATAGGAATGCACCAATGGGAATCACCAAGGAATGTCTTACCATGTGGCAATCATTTACGCATGCGGCACCTGTAACAATATTTAGCAGCAGTTCGTAAGTGGTGCTTTTTGTGTGCGCGACATGTAGGTATACGCGAAGAGCGCCAAAGAAAACGTTCATATGCTATTCGAATGTCTATTATATTTGCTTTGATATAGCTAGTCACATATGTGGACGTCATTAAGAGACTCAATATAAAAACTGTCAATTTTCAGCAAGTTCTTTTGCTTCGAGAGTACATGAACCTCCAGGCTTCACGAATCAAACAGTTACATTAAAGGCTTACCGGTTTCGTCTATTGACTTCTTCAGCGCCGTGAAGTCAACGGCGCTTCTTCAGCGCCGTGAAGTCAACGGCGCTGAAGAAGTCAATAGACGAAACCGGTAAGCCTTTAATGTAACTGTTTTAATAGTTTGATTCGTGGAGCCTGGAGGGTCATGTACTCTCGATACAATACTTGTCCATTTATAACTACAAAAGTTCTTTTGCGTAGGCATCAGTATCATTTCGGTCTTTTCGCCGAGCATTTGCACTTAAAGCCCAAAAGCACATCGGACAGCTGCGACAGAAATTATGTCATCTGTCTTCTGTTGACCTGACATGACCTGATAACTTTGACGGCAGAGGGACTGCGTTTGTTTCCAATACCATCTGTTTGCACCATGTGGAACACATTGATGCTACACCGTTCCTACCTTATGTAAGACAGCACACCGTTTACCGGTGAACTTATATGTAGGTATGGTTGCAGTTGAATCTGGGAATGCCACCAGTGTGTAGGTATATCTTGAATCTTTATTTGCTGAGCACCGAGCCTATGATGTGACATCTTCCACGTTATAAGTAGGCTGGTGAGGTCTAGCTTGCTCTATTGATCTAAAAGCGAGAAAGCAGGAGGAAGTGGCTTAAGCGCAGTAAATTTATTTTATTTAGAAATTTAATTGTTTATTCAGAACGTGGTAATTACATTGCTCGATTTGTGCCAGCTGTTTGTCGCTTATTCGAGGCAAAGGCACTATAGAACGATGGTTATTAATGTTAATTGTTGAGGTAAAATGTGTTTTATATGTTCATTGATTTGCGGTTGTTGCCATTTGGGCGAGGGTGCATTTGTTTATGTATCCCAAGGGTAGTGAGCTGGTGTCATTAATCAGCTCTAATGTCAGGGACCAAGGAGACACCCCCATTGTTTGGCCAGTAGCCATTCATAATCTTCTATGACTTGTCACATATATGGAATGTACCCATCACTTTTTCCACACAATGCACCATTTGAGCAGATATGTTGACAAATGATTGTAAAATACTTAAGTGGTTAATGAAATACAGACGTGTTAAAGTTTGCAACATTTGTGTAGCTTTTAGGAAACCTGCAGTAGCGGCGGAACACCTTCAATTAGGGGGGGGGGGGGCACTGCCGACTTTTGGTCCCATTCTTTCCATGCAACGCCCATAGGGCTTATGTCAAAATGCCAAAATCAAAGGGGGCACGGTGCCCCGGTGCCCTCCCCGTTCCGCCGCCTATGGAAATCTGCACTGTGCACAGGTGCTTAGCATCCTAAGACCTTTGGCGTTTCAAGGCGCGGCCGAAATTTCGTTTCTTTCTTGCTTTTGTGGATATTTATAACAACGCAGACCTTATAGAGCGCTAAGTAGCGTAGGAAGTGCTACGTCCTCAGAATTGAGATATTGTAAAACATATGCATAATAACGCATACGTGCGCATACATGTAAATACATATCATATCTGTATGTATGTCAGCTAAATTTGAAGCCATCAGTTTATTCTGTGATTGACTATTGACATTTACAATGGTGCATTTAATGCATAAATAAACGAGCGGAACGGAATGACAAAAAACATGTTACAATCTGTAGTATTCATTCAACATACAAAAGTTGAAATGGCATAATACAGTGGATGATAAATTATCTATAGGTATGCGAGCACAATTACATTCATTTTGTTTGTTTCTGTACTTATAACAGAGACAAGACTTGGTCTTTATAGATGGCATGTCAAGCGATACTTTAATTGAGCAATTATACATTGCTTAATGCTTATTTCCAAATTTCTCACAAAGGCACACCTCGCGTGCTGCTGTCGTATGACAGAAAAAAAATGCCACCTACCCTTGTCACTTTTTAGACCTGCTTCTCATATTCCGTAATTTATTATGCACTTTTGTACTTGCTTGTCATTCGTGTTGTTGATGTTTGACTGGTGGGAATGGGAAAGCAAATCATCTGCGGGAAAAACAACGAATTAAGACGAATTCATGTGTAACGAAATATTTTACTGACGGAAATGGAGGTGATTTTAACCCAAAAGGTGCGGAGAGTCGAGAGAAGCATACGTGGTTTAAGATTATTGTATCATTGTCTTAGCTTTTCATTGGATCCAATCAACCCTTTGCAATCAGAGCTTTGAAATCCGGCATAATATGAAATTGGTCAAGCAGGTAAAAATATGTAAACTTATCCATCATTCATCGTTATTGTCGCCCATCTTTTATTTGCTTGTATTACAACTTGACTTATGTTCAATTTTTCGACTGCATTTATTGTCAAACACGGGTATTCAATTATCAATTGTTGTAAACTGATAGGTAGGTAGCATGTACCGTGTGTCCTTTACCTGTTAGGACTTTTACCAACCACTTCTTCGTATAAGATATGACTCTTTCTTGAGATCAGGTATTCTTTATTCTGGCAATGAAAAGCTATCGCACTGTTTACGATTGTGACAATGAATGCAGATAGTGCACACTTGGCTTACTTTAATAGGAATCGCCGTTATACAGCATATTTACTCACATGTTCGTCGCATTGAATTTAAAAATATGCCATGAAACGTGAATCACTTTATATGTTCGCGTCTCATCTGCCCATGCGTCCACTTCAATGAGTGTTACCTGCAGCACAGTGGATACAAATATTGTTGTAACTAAATACAGTTACCATCCGGAGCACATGGCTCATGGACAAAAAACGCTAGCAGGATGGATGACAAATTCAAAACGATCGACCAAACTTCCCAGCCCTCTTCCGTCCTATGACTCTCCCCCTCCCCCCCCCCCCCCACACACACACACATCCTCCTCCAATGGTGGTAACGTTGTTCTGTTAGAGATGCAGCTTGGAGGCTGGAGCACTTCCCACTGTTTCCCATGGCGATGGCTGTTCCAAGCCGAACACTGCTTTCCCTTAGCTGCGACTGGGCTGACCAGACCAAACGCACGCAGCCACCCAATCAAGCGCCACGCCGTAACTTCATAGGCTTAACCCGCGCCCCGTAGGGCTACCGGCGGACCCTACCACCCGTAGGGGGGGGGCCGTTTCGGCCCCCCCTAAGATCTCGGAAAGTTACCGGCCGATTTTCAAAATTCAAACGGTGTTCGATAGCCCCACCCGGGAACTACCTTGTGACCAAATTTCATTGACCTAGGTCAAACCGATGACGTCACAGGTCAGGTCAAAGGTCAGATTTTCACCGTTCACAGGCATTTCAAGAAATGTGTTGTGAAATCGAGTTAATTGGTAATTTATTGAAAACCATCGATGGTACATTGTTCGTCAAACACATACTTTGCTATCTGAGGTCACTGATACCAGGTCAGGTCACAGCGAGGTCAGGTCACCGGGGTCACAATATGAAAGTGTCGTGTGATACATGTTTTATGGTCCATTTTACATGACAAATGCGATTATGTGGGTTAGACAGCCTTTGGGGCCAGCCTAGGTCACGTTTTGGTGAAGGTCAGGTCAAGGTCAGGTCAAATAAGGTCAAATTTCAAAGTTGATATTTTTGTATAAAATGGGTATCGATTCGATGCAGCTCGTCACAGGGAGTCTAATGGTGGTCTTTGTTTTGCTCTACGAGGTCTAGAACTGCCAAAAATTGAGTTTGAAAATTTGACGTCATCAATTTTGAACAGTTTTTTCGCTATAACTTGGCCAAAAAACGAGGTATCGATCTGAAATTCGGTATGTAGATAGAAGACGGTAGGTACTATCACATATATTCCGTTTTTTTTGAAACTCAAAAAACTTTTTGGATTTTTTGGCTAATATATCCAAAAAAAATGTTTTTTTGATTTTTGGGGTTCAAAACTCAAAAATTTCAAAAATTCGAGATAGCAGTTTTGTAGCCCTGTCAATTCTACACCTTTTATGTCTTGATCATTTTTCTGTATCTTCAAAGCTGTAGGCCTGACAGGTCTTCTCGCGAAGGTCTTTTTTCGGTCGAAAATGACAGAACATGACGTCATTCTGACGTCATTTGTGGCCAACCTATCATAGCTTCTGGAAAATTTTTGGTCACAATGTGTAAAATTGATGCCCGGAGGGGTCCTGAAAGTTTGGTGGCGATATCTGAAGCGGTTTAGGAGATATCGACCGAAAAGTACAGGGGGGGCCGTTTCGCCCCCCCCCCCCCTACGGGGCGCGGGTTAAGTAAACGTTGTTTATGAACGCCGGCCTAAACATGATGATTAGGGGAGACGCGCGCGCCGCGCGGGCGTCCATTTTGGCGTCAGTGACGCCGGCGAGCGGTCGGCGGCGGCCGCCACCTGTCCTACTGCGACTCATTATAACTGTAATCGGAACATTGGCGCCGAATTAATGTAAACAGCCGGGACAGTTTGATTATAGCCGGCCGCGAGCGGGCGCCGCGAATAGCGCCTGACGCTCTCCGCTCAGCGCGGAATGCACACAAAACGACGCGACGGCATTCTTGGGGCATTAATGGCCGGCAGAACCCTTTGTAAGCGGTGGCTAATAACAGGGCACGGCGCGGCCTCAGCCGCCGCCGGCCGTGTCCCCGCAGCGCCGCGCGGCGCGGCCCAGCGCGGCCCAAACAGCCGGCAGAGCGACGGGGCGTCCTGTCGCCGACACTAATGAGAAACACGGCGTATTACTGGCGACCGGGGGCGGTCGGCGGCGGACATACCCGGCCCGCCCCTCCGGCTGACCCGCTCCCCTCCCCACGGCCGGTCAGGGGAGCAGAGGGGACAAAAAATCCGTGTCGCTGTCGCCCGCCGGCCCCGTCGTTACCGAGCCGCGTCGGGCTCCTGGCACTGTGTTTAGCGACCGTCGCTGGACTGAGTGTCTGGACGACCTGGAGAGACCCACTGGAAGAGCGCCACGTTGACTAAGGCCACTGGAATTCCGTCCCCACCGCCACTCAGACACGCGGATACTCCCTCCCAGACAGGCCGGCGATCGCTCGCTGCCGCCGGCTCAGTTGTTTTCGCGTCGGCCAGTCATTTAGCCGATAAGGAATGTGTAATTCAATCAGATGTGCAGCATGCGTGATAAGCTGGGCTTATTCACCGGACTTGATTGGTAAATATCGGTTGTTCTTTCACAGTCGATAACCATACAGTCCTTGAAACGTGACTGGATTTCTGAAAGCCACTTTACGGAGTTTAATCAGCATTGGTGTGTATATCACCAGGCTTACAAGGAAAAAGCCATCCAAAAGAATGCATCTAAAATACAATTAAAAACACCATTAGAATTATGTCTTGCCATAGCAACTTTCTGTATGCGTATTTGGTGTTAGCTGTCGAGAATGAGATACTCAAAACTGTCGTCCGTTGTATGCAGCTGATCATAAAACTCATTTCGCCAGACAACTTGTATCGAAACGATGTTTGAGTTATTAGGTATGCTTTACCAAACGTTTTGAAGGCGGTAATGATCTCGTTAAGACGTGTTAGAATCACCTTTGAAGTGACCGGTTGTTATGACGTGCCAAGGAATGTAACAGGAATATTAGAGCGCGTAACTGGGTTTATCTTTTCTCAAAAACTAACACCTCCTCGGTGTTATGTTCATGAATTGGAAGCTTCGCGGTCGCGAAAAATCTAATTCTCATGGTATATTCAGCTGCACGGAAACAGTCCCGCTTCAACCTCAAAGGCTGTTGTCGATGGCGAAAATTACGCTGCATAATCCATGCGTTTAATAATGAGTTCGTCACTTCGCGGAAGTTCAACACGGCCTTCTCGTGCCAGCACCGCCTTAGCCAACCAGTTTTGTGGTGGAAACATTACTTAATTATTATTGAAATTTGACAAATGACATGGTAACTGTTTGATGGGGCACGGACCCAATGTGCGGCGCCGGCCGCACGTCTTAAATCCACACGATATTGGCCGACAGTGCTGAGTCATAAGTTAGAGCCGGTGACTGCTCATGCCATTTGGCCGAATAAGGCTGTTATTCCGCGGAACGTCCCCCAATGTGGCGATTTCCTGCGGCCATAAAATGCTCATAGTCTTCTATCAACGAAAATGGCCCATAAAGTCATCACCATCAAGACATAGGACGTTTAAAATGATCCTAGATAAGTCGTCAAATTTGCAGCGCGAATGGCTGAGCCGTTTCGGATGGCACCGGGGAGCGGCGACGGAGCGCTGAATCGGCCGTCGGTGCCGACTATAGCCGGACAGCTCAGCGACGGTCGACGGTCGGCCGACGTCGGCGACCGTCAGTGGACGCCCATCCCGGGTCGGTTCAGCCGGGAGAACCACCTCCCCCGGCACGGCTGTGAACCATGCAAATTACTTCATGCTCCACACAAGTGGCGAGCACAGAGAAGGTATAATAGCACGCAACATTACAAACTGGGAGCTAATTCGCCTTTGTTGCTTCATGCAGGCAATTATTTAACCACTCGTGTCTTCAAAGTGATTTATTCTCGTCACATTGAGAAAAAGACCATGGGGTGTTTGAGAATGGGACGAGCGAGTATAATGCAAATGGCTCTCAGCTGGCTGCCGATGGGTCTCGTCACGCGATCGAGACGCGGCTAGCGGCAGCAGCCGCTGAGCAGGGCCTCATGGCAACCCACCCGGCCAGGCGGGCATACCGATCCGGAGAACCGACAGTAGCGGCGCTAATTAACGGTACGGCGACTGTGCAGCGCCGGCTACTCACCTGTGGATGGTGTCGCCATTGTTGCGGTCTTCCTGTGGCAGTTGACATATCGCCCGACAGTCAGAGCTTCGTTTTCATTCATTCGCCTGTTGTTCCCCTTGGTGTATCCGGTAGCTGTGCAACACAAAGAATTTGTGTCACGTTTGCAGTCGTGACATTCATGTCAACACTGTGTCACGATGTGATATGACACCCGTTAACAGCCCCCCCCCCCGTTGTACCCATAAAGCCAGTGTCTGTTCAATACGTCTGACCCTTCTCTCTGTTCTCCCGCAGGTCCCGAGTTTCCTGCGTTTCTCCTGCAGCCCTTCCGGAAACCCAAGCGGATCCGGACGGCGTTCTCTCCGAGTCAGTTGCTGAAGCTGGAGCACGCCTTCGAGAACAACCACTACGTGGTGGGCCAGGAGCGCAAGCAGCTGGCGCAGGCGCTCAACCTCTCTGAGACACAGGTAAGGAGAGCGGTCGGGGATAGGGGCGAAGGCTGGCTGCTAGTAGGGCGGCTAACTCATGGGGGGGGGGGTATCATAAAACAGACACGCACACTGCACAGTCTCACAGAAGGCTCAGTTATGATCTGTGGACTGTGCGTGCCTCCGTGGCGTTCTTTTTGCCGGCAGCTGGTCTGTGACCCTGTTGGTCTGTGACCGCCGGCTGTTGGTCTGTGCCCGCCAGCTGTTGGTCTGTGACCACCAGTCGGACTGCCCGTATCTGGGAGCGTTCTCGGCTCCCGGTCGGACCGTCAGCGACCGCTCAGCCGCCGGTGGCACTCGATGACGGCTCATGCATTCCACATGAGCGGCGCGCCACTGCGGGCCAGCCGCCGCTCGGGGACCCTAAAGCCGCCCAAAGTAATCTGCGCCGCCGCCGACCGGCGCGCCACATATGAATCGTCGCGCCGCGCCGGCGGCCATTTTAGCGTCCGAGTGCGCCGTTATCGCCGCAAAGAACGAGCAAATAGTCTAATAAAACTAACGACAGCGCCGAGATCCATGCCGGCGGCGATAAATGAGATAAAAACCATTAGGCCGATTCCGAAAGGATGTTCTCCCGGGGAGAATGGTGCCGAAGAATAGGCCGCCATCCAGCTGCCGGCGCTGTCATAAATCGACGGTCTCGACGAGCACGTCCCACATAATGGCGGCACGATCACGTCGCTGACGATGATTGCGCGCCGGAAGCGGGTCGACGCCACTCGCTAACGACGTCTCTTTGGTCTGTTCCAGGTCAAAGTGTGGTTCCAGAACCGACGCACCAAGCACAAGCGCGTGCAGGACGAGGAGGGCGGCCCGACCAAGTCCCCGGGCGCGTCGGTCGCCGCCGCCGACGCCGCCGACGATCAGACCGACAGTCTGCTCACCTACGAGGAGTCGGACGACGAGAACATCGACGTCGACGCTGCTGATAAACCCGAGCAGCAGTGAGAGCTATAGGACCGATACCGCGTCCGTGCGCGCCGGTGGTGGTGCTGACGTCACGCTAGCTGAAGCTGCCGGCGTTAATGCTGGAGCTGATGCTGGCGCTGACGCTGACACCACTGGCGCTGACGCCACTGAATCTGGCACTGACGCATCTGACGCCGTCATTAGTGCTGGTGCTGAGCTGCCCAGAGGTAGCTGGATCACCAGCCAGAGACTGGACGGCAGACTGGGTGCACCGCAACACTATTTATTTGGCCTAGGCGGCCGTATGGACAGAGGCTGGTGCCCAGTGCCGACTGAATAACCCCTATACCATGTGATATTAATTTCCCAGATGCTACTCTATCGAACTCTGATAGGGCGTTCGTATTGTGTGCTCGACTCTAGAGGTGCCCGACCGTGGTGAAACCAGAGACCGTTGCCAGTCTGATTATTTTCCCAATGTGATATTTGTTGTAGACTAGACTAGAGTATAGTATTTCTTGGCCGTTCAGTGGCAGCTGTGTGCGTGTGTGTATGTGCCAGTTCGGTGTTGTACATATGTCTGTGTCTGGTGACGACCCGCCATCTTTGGGCCCACTACGACCGAATTTGGTGCTTACTGACATATGTACAAAATGACGTATATGTGTGTATGTATTGGTTATTAGGAACGCTGATGTTAGAAGATGATAAGAAAGTCTTTTGGGACCTATATATGTAAAATGTGTGTCGGTGGTCCTATCGAACAAATAAAACAATGATAGATAAAGAAAATCTGGCAGTTTTAGGTATATGGGTTTGATAGGGTACACTTTGTAGTTCAAACACAGCGGTCTCGTCACTTACATACACCACAATCTAAGCGTAGGTATGAATCATGTCCAAGAAGGAATTCAGTTGCGCAAATGCTTCAAGTATTCTCAAAATGAAGTCGACTTTGATCATAATTAAGCCTCATTGATGATCGATCATGAGCGTTTTTACAGACAGCCTATCTAACGGCGATAACAGAAAAATGACCGTGTGTCGATCACTTCAGAAGGACAAGTTCTAACTTAAAATAGTAAGAAGTCAAAAGATTACCGTCTAAGTCAACTATTTCTTCAGGCGAGCTAATTAAAGGGCAAAGTTTTTAAAAGTTGAATGATAACATTGGGTGCAGTGATAACGAAAGCAGACTTTTAAGAGTACCTGTCCAGTAACGGCTACCAAATGTCCGAGGAGCTTCAGTTAGAGACAAAACATTTTTCAACCTGGCACCACCAGAATTGTGCAGCTATTAGGCTGAGGCCAACAGCAAAACCCTTCTGTACACTTTGACAAATCCAAGTAATCCAAGTGATAAGTGGCCGCGCTTCATCACAAACTCAAGTCACTGAGCCTGGCTCGACACTCAGCAGCGCACGTCACCAGCAACATAACGTTACAACGACTATCACCTCAACGCACGATGCCTGTATTTCGCTTTTAATGCTTTAACCTACTCTTACACAACGGTAGACATTAGCGCATGTACCAAAATGTTAGGGTAGATGCCTAACTGCCTAATCTGTCCAGAATTGGGCAGCGTTTGACAAATGCACATGGGTGCAAGCTTATCTTTAAAGTTTTTTCTTACTGTTCGGTAACTGTGCTTAGGCAAATGCTGATAACGTTGACAGATGGCTTTATCTGGACAGTTTCTTTGACAAATGATTTATTGTTAATATGCCTTATAAACAAGAGGTGCTCGTATCATCAATAACTATCGCCGCCAATGACTTACCCATCTAAATACAAACTAGTTTTGACGGAATCATTACCCTAACCAGTAACCATGAATCAAGACACTTTATTTCAGGCTAATTATATCGAATTCATCTATGAATGAAGTGAGACAATTTTTTTTTACTTTTTTGAACATATATTTTTGCAAAGTTCCCATGTTTTGTCTATTGAAGTCTGGTTCGATCAGTTGCATTATTAGCAATCATGTAAACTAGGGTTTGGGATCCATTAAAAAATCAAATGTTTCATATATGTGTTTCCAATCACACACCAGGCATCAATATCAAATCAAATAAAAACAGTCAAATCTTAACTATCAAGCCTAATTTTCACTTATCATGATTTACAGCGTACTTGATACAATTCCATGCTCTGTGATTGGCTAAGTAACGTGGAAGCAAAGTCTAAATCATGATAATATGTGGTAGAATTCATCTTATCCATATAAGTAAAACAGTGACAGAATTACGCTTGAACCAATCTTAGGTTACAAATGATTGTGACCGTACTGATAGAGCAGAGTCGTTCCAAACTCTTCATATGTCTGACCATCACTCCCACTGGTTACTGCCGACGAATGAAAAATATACGTTTTTGCGTAGCACGATTCATGTGAACAAAGAGAAAGGTTCCATGGGTCGCCCAAAATAGACACAAACAGATGACCGATTTAACGACGTTCTGGTCAGTCGGACATTTTTAGCACCGACTCCAGATTGTGGAGGACTGACGTCACGCTACGGAAGATTTGGTTCACCGCTCATGAATGGCAGTCGCCTTATCTTGTATTGCATTCTACGCCGGTGACAGGTAAGGCTACGGATCCATTAATCAGGCTTTGAGTTCCGGAAACGATTGCGCGACATTCCAGACATGAGCTGTTGTGTGGTAGGACCGGGGACAGCGGACGGTCGCCGAGGGTCCTGCGTGTCTCGTGGACCACGTGGACCACGTGGGCGTACGTCCCCTGTCTGACGGACCCCCTGGCCGTCTGACGGACCCCGGCCGGTATCGTGTCCCCCATCAGCCCCCCACGCCGACCCCGGGAGCCCGATCGGACGGCCGACTGTGATCCCAGTCACGCCCAGGCGACTTCCGTAACCCATTGTCTTTCAATCAGAGGGGACCTTTTAAAGCGACATAATCTGGTGTGAAGCCGTGGTCTATGAGCTGTCTGTCCCATCACTAGAGGCCCGCCGCTCGCCGCCCGCCCGGACGGACGGACGGACGGGCGACCGCTGCCGCCATCTTTGTCGCCGGTGCGCCGCGTGTCACTGGAACAGCTGACACTGACACCTCTGGCCTGACACAGCACGGCCTGACTTGACCTGACCAGGGACACCGCCTGAGCTACGAACGGGCACGACATGAACGCAGCCACCATTTCACCGTGAGGGCGCCCCTCTCCCCCTCCCCCTCCCCATCACCACATCGTGAGACAGAGGCAGTGTGACGTCATCCCTGGGGCGAGCTGCCCACGTCACAACCGGTGTAAGCAAACAGGTCTGCTGTCAAAGGCTGCCGAGTGACGGTGTCGGACGGCTTAGGAAACACGTAGGGGCAGCGGGGGAGTCGGATACACGGTGATTGGCTAGTTACACGGGAGATTGCGTTAAACAGCAATTGGTTGGTTACACGGGGATTGGTTGCAACTTGCACGGCGATTGGTTAGTTACACGGGGGAGTGGGGCACACAGCGATTGGTTAGTTCCATGGGGGAGTGGGGCACACGGCGATTGGTTAGTTGCAAGGGGGAGAGGAGTACACCCGCTACACCGTGATTGGTTACCACAGGGGAGTGGGGTACATACATGGCGATTGGCAGCAAACTCTTTTGGAAAATGTGAAGAAATGGAGAGGGTGTTTTAGGCGGCTTCCAATACGGGAGAGGAAGAGAGAAAAGAAGGAAAGAGGGTACTTGCATGCTGCGGTTGACTGGCACCAGCTATCGATGCATCCCATATACCTACAGAAAATTCCCAGAGATACAGCAAGCCAATGCAGTTCAATGTTTGAGGAAATCAGATAGGGTGATCGCCTGCTACGACAGCTTCGGCGCGTGTCAATAATAAACAAATGTTTATCGGCCTATATTGGATCATGTAGCAGTAGTAGCCCAACGGCAAAAGAAAGGGAGGAATGCGACTTATCTATCGATGCCCTTTTCACGATGCATTGGCGGTTTTGGGTCCAAACAGGCAACGGGTAGCATGGTAAAGTCTGAATATCTTGTATTGCAGGTATCAATGCTGATAAATTTCCTTTATACAAATCAGGGCATATTTTAACATACTGACTGCGTCCCATTTTGGGACGCAGCCCCCTGCCTTTGGGACGTAGCCCTCGCGAAATTTGGACCACTGCGTCCCACACTGAAATGCCACGGTTTCAGCCGAAAAGTGCGAGCAAAAATAAGTAATATGCCTCGGTCTTTTACTGTGTAAAAGATGTTGGCTTTCCGATTGCTTTGTGCCCTGATTTACTATGTACCTAAGCACATACATGCCCTCTCCAGTCCTTGTGCCCTGCCCTACCCTTGGTCATACACCTTATTATGTTCTTCCCTACTATACCCCTAAGATATGTGCCCTGCCCAGTGCCCTGTCCTTAGGTCTTGTACCTTGCCCTGTCCTTTCTTCAGGCCCTGTGCCCTGCTCTGCATTCAGGCCCTGTGCCCCGCTCTGCCCTGCCCTCAAACACGATACTTTATATATTCTGCCTGGAAATTTGATGCGCTGCCTTCCCGTCTTTTGGCCCCGTGCCCTGCCCTACCCTAGTTTGGGGCCCCTGCCCTTCTCTGCCCTCAAGCCTTGTGACACGTCCTGCCATCAGACCCCGTGCCGCTGCCTTGTCTTCAGGTACTGTGCCCTGCCCTGCCATCAGGCCTTGTGCCTTCCCATGTCCTCATGCCCCGGCCCCGCGCCCATCCTCGAGCCTAATGCCTTGCCCTGCCTCAGGCCCTGTCCTGTCATGTTCTGCTTCCAGGCCTCATGTGCATTGCCCTGCCCTTAGACCCTGTGCCCTATTCTGCCATTAAGCCTTATGCGTTATATCGCCCTCAGGCCCGTGCCCTGCCTCGCCCTAAGTTGCTGTGCTCTGCCCTGTCGTCAGGCCTTGTGCCGTCCCATGCCATGAGACCCTGTCTCCTACTCTGCCCTCAAGCCCTGTATTCTGCATTGCCCTAAGGTCTCGTGTCCCATGCCCGCTCTCAGGCGCTGTGCCCTGCCCTGTCATCAGGCCCTGTGGTGTCTCCCGCCCTCAGGTCCCGTGCCGTTTCCCGTCCTCATGCCCCGTGCCCTTACCTGTCCTCAGAACCCGTGCTTTGTTCTGCCTTCATGCCCTGAGCCTTGCACTGCCCTCAGGCCCCATACCCTGGCCCTGTTTCACCGGTGATAGCAGCACGCTGCTATTACACGTGTCAAATTGGGTTTCCATGGAGACATCAACAGGCCCATTGCTCAAACACTACCACAAGTATGACGTCAGCTCGCGGAATTTGATAGCAGCGTCCGTGAAACACCGCCCACGTCTTGTCATACCTTCGGGGCCCGAAGGTATGACAAGACGTGGGCGGTGTTTCGGGCCTTGTGCCATACCTGTGTCTTATGTCTTGCTCTACCTTGGCTTTAGGTACTATTTCTTGCCCTGCTCTGAGATCCTGCGTGTTGCCCTGCCACCAGGTGTGTTGATCATCAGGTGTTCTAAGGCCCTGTGTCTTACACTGCTCTCCGGCCTTGTGTAATGATAGCCTCAGACCCGCGCCTTGCCTTGCCCTCGGACCCTGCATCCTACCCAGCCCTCAAGTATCCGTCTTATCTTAGCTTCATGGCCTGAGCCTGCCCTGTCCTTAGGGCTCAGACTCTGTGTCCTGCCCTTCCCTAAAGTCCTGTTTAGAGATGTCAAGTTGGAGCCCGCAGGCCCGGAGTCTGGCCCAAAATCCGGCCCTACAGGGCTTTTGCATGCACAGTGGATTGTATCATTGTTTTGAGGTACCTCATCGAAACGCA